TATGCTAATAATAAGCATTATATCTGTTTTGCAATTTAAACACTACCAAAATGCATAACATTAATCCTTCAAATAGGGTATTCTAATTCAATAATAAAGGCAAATAGTTTTCCTTCTAGAGGTTAATAATTTAAGCTGAAGATGAGTAAAGAGCAGTGTGAAATGGGAAACAACTAGCTTTTATATAATTCATCGCTAGACCTAATAAAACATTACTTTTATTGAAGATATGATTTTCATACACTAACACATACGGTAACGCTAATTATTGGCATTAATTGGTAGGGGGTAACTTGGCCCATCATGTGGCGGTCGATGCAAATGGATACGAGTTCAACCGGCTGAACCTCGCCGGCCTTGTAGCCATACAGCCATTCTTCGGCGGCCAAGAACGGACCGAATCTGAAATCAACCTTGCTGGAGCTCCTTTTATTTCCGTTGAGCGAACGGACTGGCTATGGAAGGCGTTTTTGCCTGAAGGGTCGGACCGTGACCACCCGGTGGCGAACGTGTTTGGACCAAATTCCAAGGATATTAAAGGCCTGAAGTTTCCGCCGACAATCGTGTTTGTCGGGGGCTTCGATCCCTTGAAAGATTGGCAGAAGAGGTACTACGAGGGATTGAAGAAATGTGGAAAAGAAGCGTATTTAGTTGAGTATCCAAACGCCATTCATACGTTCTATGCATATCCAGACATGCCGGAGTCTGCTTTGTTCATCAAGGAGCTCAAGGATTTCATGGAAAAGCAAGCAAAGTAGTTTTAATCCAGTATTATTAAATTGTCTTGAGTCTTGCGTCCATTAAGAGCTGTGAGCATGTTTGGTTTGAAAGAAGGTACAGTTAAATTTGTTAATTGTTGTAATTTTTATTGTGTTTGAGATGACTTGTACTTATATTAAATAAATTTATTTTTTAATAAAATAATATAATATTATTAAATAAATAAATATTTTTACTTTGCTAAAATTTATTTTGAACAAGTTTTAATTTTTTGATTTTTTTTAAATTTTTAAAAATTGAAATCACACCTTTTTCTTTTTTCCTTTTTGAAATGGGAGAATTTGGAAGAAGAGAGATTTCTTTTAAGTTATTAGCGAAAATTGAACTGCTAATTAATTAAATTTAAATACTAAATTTTGAAAACAAATCATTAAACTTGAAGATTCAATTCAAAATCACACCCATATTAAATGAAGTCACAATTAACTTGTTTGATTTAATAAAAAGCTATTTATTGGTGGGTTGTGATGTGTAAGTAAATATTTTGTTAATAAAATGTACAGGGTGCTGAAATTTTCCAATTGCAAACACAAGCAACATATGGCAACATGCATGGATGTTGCCCTAATTCAATGCACAAAACGTCTTCACACGACTACATAGCATGAAACACCCAAAGATATATGCAGTTTACCAAGAGTTCAAGCATATGATAATCAATTAATTCCCAGCAAAATTCGAAGAAATCTTTTTATGCTTCGTGTCTCCCTACTATTGAAGTAGGATCGATACTACCGGGATGAGAGTAGAAGATGGTTGCAATTTGGGGAAGGCTCAAACCTCTTTTGCAGTAGTGTAAAGCACACAACCGGTCATCTCTGTCAGAATACCAGATATGCCATATTAGAAGATAAGAGACAGAATACCAGATATGATACATGTACATTTACATGCAATGCGTAGAGGACATGTTGAACAAGAGGGGAGGGGAGGGGGTAGGCGTGGGTATACAAATCCCCGTTTACTGGACTGGCAGAAAGCCAGAAAAACTCTACCTGTTCAGAGATCAGGAACATGAAGTGAAAATAAGGGGGGAGAGAGGGTGGTCAAGGATGGGGATAGAGAGTGAGATTTCCCCCCAAACTCTACCAGTTGTCATTGTTACTAAGTCGATACCAACAGGAAAAGCTATGTTTCTGAAAAGCTTGGGTGATTGTAACTTCGGAGAGTTTTTTAAGATTTCTATATTATAATGCATGTACTGCAGTCAGACTTCATGTGGTTTTACATGCCTGTCAGTAGATAGTGTAACGCCTATCGCTCATAATGTAAAATTTAAACTACAGATCAAAAAAATGTAAAACTAATAATTTAATCATAATAAAAGTCCAAGAAAATCTAAATCAGTTAAGTTCAATTTTCCCAAAGCATTAAAGATTGATTTCATTTTACATCCTCTCCAAACATACCCAAGGCAATTCTTATGGCAATCAAGAATTGCATAGAATAATAAATTTGGAATGAACCAACAAACTACAATGGATATTCATAGGGATTATATTTAAGAGAAAAAATAGTCCTAAACTATAATGCCCAACACAAACACACACACACACACACTGCAAAATTTGTCAAAAAGGAGAAACTAACCATTTGTCACTTCTCATTTCTTGGTCTTATCGAGAACTTCAATGTATCTCTTAGGGATTCCATATTGTTCAATCAGATGTTTTGCAACATCATCTATTACGCCTCCTTGAATAATAACCTCAAGCCCTTTCTTACCTAGAAAAAGGAAGATGACATTTTAGAACAGTAAAATATGTTTTTCTAATTTTCTTTTTCTTTTGTTCTGCATGGATGAAAATTTTCAGCATGCACAGACAAATGGGGATTACAACATTAGAAGCATTAAAATGATAACAAACATGGCAGAAGGAGAAACTAGATTAACATTCTTATGAGTTTGTGAGAGAGAAAGATAGGGGGCTGGCAGGTGGGGGGAGGGGGGTTTGTTAGTCATAGACCTTTGCCTTTCAATCGTGAAAGGTTGTGGATGCAAAGATTATGCTGGGGTTGATCAAAGAGGGTCAGAATGTTTAAAGCAGCATTGGCTGCTGCCATTCATTTTCAATAGCAGGAACAAAATGCCAGAATTTTATGGGAGTACAGAAGGCCTCAGCAGTTTTTGGTTGTATATACTCATTTGTCTTGAAGTTGTTTTCGTGATAGTTTTCCCTAAGAATGCCCTGGTGTAGTCTGTGTATACCTGTTTTAG